ATATATATATATATATATATATATATATATATATATATATATATATATATACGAAAAAAAATAATCCATTAATTTATTGGTCCATCTTTTAATAAGACAACCATATTTTTAACATATTTTGTTACAATAGATAAGATCAAAATAGGTCGAATTGACATTTAGTTATCTTAATAAAAAAAATCATTTTTAATTACACATTTTAGTATTTAACTATTATTATTTTAAAATTTGTTGTCTAAGGTTTTCTTTGTTCATGTTATAAGGTTAAAACAATGTTGTATTTTCAAAATATGCTACCAATTTGTTACAAATTTGACAAACTAAAGTATATGAAATAATAAAACATGTAAGAAAAACCTTAAATAATAAATTTGTAAATGCTATATAAATAGGTGATAAAGTGCAATTTAACAATTTTTAATCTATTGGAATAAATAGTGACGGTTCTATTTTATAGTTGGTGTGGTTGCAACTGGTCACTAGAATTTTGAATTTTTTTAATCCACATATTTTTTTTAAAGAAAAAACAATAGCACCCTATCATCAATCTAATAAATCTATTGAATTTATTAAAAAGAAAAAAAAATAAAACAATATATTATATATTTCAATTTTATATACTATTGATTTTTTTATGATAATAAAAATAATAGAATTATTATTATTAGTATAATTATGAAATATAAATAATTTTTATAATTTTATCATAAATATTTTTTATTTATTTTTTTATATGATTTTATAATTAATAATTAATTAAATTTTAAAACATGTCAAATTAAAATACGGTAAATTTTAAAAAATAATAAAATTGATAATAAAATTATTTTGATTTAAAACTAATATTTAAAAAATAAATTTGAAAAACGAATGTGGATATCAAAACACGTCTTGTTTTTATGTATAAACAAAAAGGAAAATTTTCTTTATACATATTTTAAATAATGTTGATACTGTAAATAATTATACCACGTGAAAGACACTTATAATTTGTACACACATAAATATTTAATATTTTTCAATACAATTATATACTTTTATAAAAGCTTGCCATATTTTTTTATTGCATTAAAAAGACTTATTGATCCGACGATAGAAATAATTATATAAAATTGAAATCGTTTTTTAATAATAAAAATGAATGATAATATATTTTTATTGGAGAGAAAATACCGTAATCAATAATTTTAATTAAAAAATAAATTGCATTTCCAAAATGATTTTGATTGGCAAAATATCATTAGTAAAAGACGAATGAGATTCCTAAAATAAACGTTTTACTTTTGATGATCTTAGAAAGAAAATAACCATGGTTTGACATTATATTTTTTAATATTTCTATTTTATAATTATGAATAATATTGTTTTGATTTTAAAATTTTGTTTATTTTTTATTAGTTAATACATAATATTTTATTATTAAAATTATTAAAATGAACTGTAAAATGGAAAAAAAAAGTGACTTTTGTTATTTTCTAAATTTTCAATAACAACATAAGCATAAGCTAATAAATGGCTAATTGTTAACTATAAGTGTATTATCTATTGATGAGTTTAGCATACCTTATGTTGTCAATGTCCACCATGATTTCAACCCACTCTTTTTTTATCGAGACTTTGTGATTGAATTGAAAAACAGCTTCCACATGGTGATGTTTGAGAGAGAATTGAAGTCTCTCACTTGCTGGATTACTTTTTGAGTTCTCAACATCCATGACTACGAGGGGGCAATACAGCTGCACTTTCCACAACCCAATTGCCGAAAGGGAATACGAAAATAATGGACAAGGTGTTCTGAAGGGGTTGTGATGTGGTTCTTGTTCCCCGACCCAGTTAGTAACTGCAAGGTTCACAGAGCGCATCCACAACTCTTCTACGTTAGAGCCTAAGAGTTTCATCAGCGTGATTGATGCTTTTCTTGACTGAAAACCTGTCAGGTGATCTTTCAGGTTACTAATACACCCAGAACGAAAATCTGCAGCAGGAGTTTCGTATATACAAACTAGGAACAAGAGAGTGAAGAAAGAAAGATTGAAAACGTCTGAAAGGTTGGGAGTGGAGTCCAGTTCTGGAAACCTGAGGAAGGAAGTGTTCTTGTTGGAGCCATAAAGAAGGATGGCCTGGTTGATATTGACAAAGAGACTGGAAATGGTTTCTTCATCTATTAACTTTTTTGTTTTGGAGCTTGCGTGCTTGAAAGGTTTTGAGGTCCAAAGATGGATAGGAGTGTTGCAGTCTGCTATAATGACAAAGCAGAATTTTGAGGAATCATGGTTTTTGGTTACGATAAGACTGAGACATGGTTGGCAAGAGGTTGAAGAACGTATGTTTAGTGAAAGTGGATTTGTTTCCCATTCTGAGATTGGTGGAAGCTTCTGAATCCAGCAAAACACATCAGGAAAACTGTAGGCCATGGATGAAGCAACTTGTACCTCTCTCTCTTTCTAATTCGGGTGCATGCATGTGAAGGCTTCACGTATTTGTAGACTCTTCCATGATTGTGGACAATGCAAATACTGTAGTGAAGGAAGAACAATATGAAAAAGAAAGGATCATGATTGCTACCATCATTAATAATTAGCTCCATGGAAAAAAGTAAGATTAACTCCACGGGTAATTCAACAAGCTAGAAACTATTTAGATCACTATCAAATGTCAAACACTGTACGTTATAGATAATATTGTACGTCTTCCCTACATAATTTTTATACTTTTGAAAAAAGTATATATGAATATATATATATATATATATATATATATATATACTTACATATAAAGAATGTCAAATATACTTTTAACCATGAAAGTTTGTAATATTGGAGGAATTTATATTTATAGTTTATTTGAACTTATTTTATGGTATAAACATTTGTTTAAGAGAACTTATAAAAATAGTTTGCGATGTATCATAACTTATTTTCAATTTATTGTAATACTTTAATAACTTATAAAAACAATAACAACTTATATATGAAAATAATTTAAATTTATTTAATTTTCAATTATGAAAACAACTAATATATATACCCGATAAAAAGACTTGAGTTTATTATATATTTATATAGGCTGGATTGCTCTTAATCAAATTATAGTATAATTCTTATCTAGGTCTTCAATTTAGCAAATAGTTAACACTATAGCACTACAGCACCCGTTGCTTCATAGGTATTTGTCACCGTCATCTTTTTATTTGTAAAAGGACCACTGAATCATGGATATCCAATATCTACGTACATACAAAAATGGTAGTAGGGTAACGCTTCATGAATAAGGTAGTCTGTTACAGATGAAGATTCGTGTATGACAAAATGTTTGTTATTGTTAGAGCTAGCTGGTAACTTCATCATTGGGTCATATTTTACCTTATTTTCACATGTTTGATGGCATTGAGAGTGACGACATTTATGCTTAAGAAAAATATGAATTCAGATAGTCGTTGATTAGGAAAAGATAATTACATGCACGTAAAGAGAAAAATCTGAAATTACTAAAATTGTGATAGCCAGACATTTGATTGATTTGAAGATTTAAGTCTTATCTCGTTTCGTTAATTATCTTTAAAAAAAGTGTAGATTTTGGTACTCTTTTAAAATATCAGTAATATTACACCAATCACGTCTCTTTGTACGAAAACCCTTCTCTTATGGAGAATAACATACTAATTAAAAGAAGAAAGAGAAAAATGTCCAGAAGTCCAAAGAAGAAGAAGAAAGCTTCTTTCGAAAAAAAAAAGGTAATTTGTTAGCATTGAAAAATACAAATCTGAATTATAAAGCAATGAGTCGCATAGCGAGTTAGTCTAATGTTTACGCCACCGAATATTTAGTTGTTAACGTTTAAAAGTAATTTGTGGTAGTCTCTTTCAAAGAAATTTCTGTCCATATTATCCCGGTCTCAAATTTTCTTCGTGAAGGATTTGGGATCTCGATAAGAATAAGAGACAGGTTCAATATAAGTTCATCTAAGATGCAATGTGAGAGTTTAATTTGTGTTACGTGAAAGGTTTAATTATAGTCACGTGTACATATACATCTAACATCCAATAGTGTAGGCACGCTTTTAATTTGATATTAATTATAATTTTGATTAATTATATGTGAAAGAGTTCAATCTACCACTTTTCTCATCTTTCTTTATCATTAAACAAACTATAACTTAAATAATATAACAAGAGATACATGATAAATTTTTATATTTTTATCAAGTTAATTTCATATTATTTAGAGAATGTGATATAAAATAATTTAAATACTCCTTCCAACCTTGGCGACACTTTTTAAGAATATAAAACCCTCACAAATAAGATTTCAAAACATGTATGGTCATGGACTTTAATGTCATTTGATGAAGTTAGGATTGAAATATCATGATCCACCATGAGATCGATAATGGAACATTTAGTCCCTTAAGCCTTCCAATAAAGATAATCAATCATTTCCCTTATATCTCGACTAGGACATATATTTCTACCACACTCAATATTTTCATGTTACTTAAGAATCGAGGTTTAAGACAATTTAAATAGTCTTTCTACACTTCGATACATATTTTAAGAGTAAAATCGAAATTTTAATCTCGAAAACAGACAATACTTTGAATGTATGATAATTGACCTTAAAGATATGTCACTCGATAAACTTAAGATTAAAACATTAAAAATAAAATTATGTTCAAGATTTAATGAATTAGTACTCAAGTTTACACACTAAACCGGTGAACTTTTAAAAGTTATCTCTATTATCTGGATATTTTAGAGTAAATCAATAATTCACGGAATTGGCAGAACTTGCAAACTTGGATTTGTATATTCGTCCTAATCAAATTTTATTAATTTAACGAGTATTGAGTAAATTTGAAGATTACATAAAACAAATTAAATCTCACATAATTAATTAATACTAAATTTAGTTTTTAAATATACGTTAATACTATCACCTATCTCATCCGACTTCTTTTAATTTTAAGCTAGAATAATTTACATATTTTCAGTAACTAAAGTATGTACGCATTGCACTTTTCACATTTTTCTTTTTTAATGTTCAGCAACTAATACTATGATATATTACTAAATATTTGCAGATACTCCAACGGTGTTTTACCCTTCTACGGGTCACATTTCTACTGGTTTTACTAGCTCCTATGTAAGAAAGAAAGTTGTATTGCTGAATTATAGCAACTGTTTTTACACATAAATAACAAATAATTTGAAAGGTTTGAAATTTCTTTAGAAAGAAGTAAAAAAAAAACATTAAAATGTTTTGGAGATATTAAACTGCATGTCTTCTTCCTCTTTAGGAATTCTTTCAAGGTACATCTAAAACAGTTGAACAAAAACTGTTTCCAGTTAAAGTTTGTTGTCATTTGAAACAAATCTTTCCAATTAATTAACGGTTAATCTCATTTCTGGATAAACTATAAATTTAGTTAAGCGTACATAAACCTTGGCATAAAAACCAGAGTTCCTGATTTAATTAACTTTCTTTTGCCCATGCTATTGTGGTGTTATCTTGAAGCCATTTTCCTCTTCTTTCCTCATTTGGGGAAGCCGTGGGCATATAAGTAGCTGCTATACCATTGAATTTTTCTTATGAGTTTGGCTTTTAGAAAGCCAAAGTGAAGACCGTTCATTTCTAGCAAAATGAAATTTGACCTTTGTTGTAGTGATTAAAAGCGTGATGATATTAGTCTTCCCATTTGGGTTATTTGTAGTGTACACACCTCCACCTTCTCTCGTGACAACCTTAACCCATTTCACAACTATGTCCTTGTCCTTCTCTCATGATAACTGTGTCTGTTTCATTGACCTCGTGGCCATAACTCACACCTACCATCCTTGACCTCACACAGAATAAACATAGTTATTTAGGTAGATGTGTTGGATTTGCATCGCCATTATTTTTCAACAGATTAAACTTTCTATTTCCTTTTTATATTTTGAAATATTAATACATTTGAGAAATGGAAAGTAATTTCATAAAATAAATTAGTTTTAAGTATTTGAATCACAACCATTAATATTTATAACTCACGGAGATTTAAAAATATGAAAACATTTTAATAATTACATTTCAAATGGGTCCCCAACAATCTTTTCCTCAAGGGTGAGTTTCTTTCACAACTACAAGTAATCATTTCCAATGAGATTTGAGTCCAGCCACAATGAGATTTGAGTCCAGCCACATAAAGGATTGATATTACTCTCTACCCAAAACCTTAAAGCAATATGTTGATAGGTCTTTCATCTTTATATACTACTTTACTTTCTCATTTTTATCTAATGTGGAACTTAAACTCACTTGATTTCTCAATAGAGAGAACATTTGTGTTATTGTCCAAAGGACTAACCCGTTTTTGTTAATTAACATACAATCAAATTAAGGTAGAATAAAATGAAAAATTTGAAAGAGATACACCCTTTCATTATGCATTCAAGTTGAAAAATAAGAATAAAGAAATTATTATTCTTTAAACTCAAGCAATTCATAACATATTATATATATATATATATATATATATATATATNTTTGGTACTCTTTTAAAATATCAGTAATATTACACCAATCACGTCTCTTTGTACGAAAACCCTTCTCTTATGGAGAATAACATACTAATTAAAAGAAGAAAGAGAAAAATGTCCAGAAGTCCAAAGAAGAAGAAGAAAGCTTCTTTCGAAAAAAAAAAGGTAATTTGTTAGCATTGAAAAATACAAATCTGAATTATAAAGCAATGAGTCGCATAGCGAGTTAGTCTAATGTTTACGCCACCGAATATTTAGTTGTTAACGTTTAAAAGTAATTTGTGGTAGTCTCTTTCAAAGAAATTTCTGTCCATATTATCCCGGTCTCAAATTTTCTTCGTGCAGGATTTGGGATCTCGATAAGAATAAGAGACAGGTTCAATATAAGTTCATCTAAGATGCAATGTGAGAGTTTAATTTGTGTTACGTGAAAGGTTTAATTATAGTCACGTGTACATATACATCTAACATCCAATAGTGTAGGCACGCTTTTAATTTGATATTAATTATAATTTTGATTAATTATATGTGAAAGAGTTCAATCTACCACTTTTCTCATCTTTCTTTATCATTAAACAAACTATAACTTAAATAATATAACAAGAGATACATGATAAATTTTTATATTTTTATCAAGTTAATTTCATATTATTTAGAGAATGTGATATAAAATAATTTAAATACTCCTTCCAACCTTGGCGACACTTTTTAAGAATATAAAACCCTCACAAATAAGATTTCAAAACATGTATGGTCATGGACTTTAATGTCATTTGATGAAGTTAGGATTGAAATATCATGATCCACCATGAGATCGATAATGGAACATTTAGTCCCTTAAGCCTTCCAATAAAGATAATCAATCATTTCCCTTATATCTCGACTAGGACATATATTTCTACCACACTCAATATTTTCATGTT